GTGGTGCTTCTTTTGTTCAGGATTATTTTTTGTTTCGTCGTTCGTGTTAATATAAAATAACTTACTGGGGAAGAATGCAGAACAAATGCCTACACCAAGACACATGTGAATGGCTTAGATTGGACGGATGGAGAAAAAAGTTATAATGATGTCTTACACCATTGAACAACTATGAATATATTTTTGTGGTTGGACAAGAAAAAAAATGTTTTTACATAAATATATTCATTCTACCATTATAAATTTAGAAAATAATATGAAACTTCGAGCTTGTCAAAATTATTTTACAAACTGTCCTGTACATTTGGACACAGGATTTAATTATATTTAAATTATTTATTAATTACATTATTATTTAATTTAATATATTTAAGATATTTGTATTTATTGAGCAAAACTGGAAAGAACTGGGCTACATACTACCAACTGGACAAAATAATAGAACACACATCTTGTTGTTGTCTTTGATACTAACCAAATGTGTCTCTGCTATATTCACTTTTCATATGGTGGATTTCTCTAGGCCTATTCGATATGATCATATTACAATAGTTTTGGAGTGTGTCTATGCTACAACATTATTTATGGTTAGTATAGATAGAACTCACCGTTAGATCTCGCGTATATCGTTTCTAGGGGAATGACTGAAAATTTTGATTATTCCGGAATTTTTCGATGTCATTACGTATTTTTCACATTTCTTTTATTATGCAACAATTTGCAATTGACAAATGTCCTACAATTTTTGTTATTTTTAACGTTTTAGAATTGAGTTACTTTAATATTCTCACTCAAATCCTTAAAACGATATTGACGATATCTGCTGATCCGATTTTTTTTTCGAAAATAAACAGTGAGAGCATTTATTTGTCTATATTTTAATTTATAATTCCATCTATGCTGAAATCAAAACCCCTGAAATATCAATAATTGTAGGTTATTTGTCAATTGAAATATTTCTATAATATATCACATTTAATGAAGTCGATTTCTTGAAAAATATGTTTTCAAATAAATTAATAAGCACATTTGACTGCAGTAATCAGCATGTTGACTATACAAAAGCATGCTGAGAGCCATCTAGACAAAATAGTAGAACAAACATCTTGTTGTTTTCTATGATACTAACCACTTTCAGATGTGTTTCTGCTATATTCACTTCTCACATGGTGAAACTCTTTAGTCCCATTCGATATGATCATAATACAGTCGTTTCAGAGGATGTCTATGCTAGTGGTTAATATTAAAACTTGAAATTTCACCATGTGTAATGTAATGTATATGTAATATGTAATGTATTTGTAATATGTAATGTATATGTAATATGAATTACAGCAGTTTTGGATTGTGTCTGCGCTAAATTAAGCGCCATCTAATAGTTCATATTAAAACAAGCAACGCCAACATCCCCAATAAAATTTACCGTTGTACAATTCCCAAGACAACACCCCCATTAAAATTTACTGTGGTGCATTTCCCTAGACAACATTCCCCTTAAAATTGACCGTGGTGCATTTCCCAAGACAACATCCCCATTAAGATTTACCGTGGTGAATTTCACCAATCAACATCCCCAATAGAATTTACCGTGGTGAAATCCCAACATCCCATAAGCACTCTACTGCTATCCATTTAGAACTCACTTCAGATCTTTCCATGTCTACATTTCTTTCAGCGTTTCATCGTTTCATTTGTTTCACACCGAGGTTGTCCATTGCATTTGTATTCCGACAATGACATAACATTCGTAGGGGCTTCAAAGATCTTAGCCCAAAACTTCCTGCTAGCCTCTCGTAACGGAGACACCGCCTACTGTGCTCTACAAGGGCTAACTTGGCATTTTATACCTCCGGGGGCTCCCCATATGGGTAGATTGTGGCAAGCTGGAGTTAAGAGCTTCAAGTCTCAATTCCGTATGTTCGCAGTTCCATGAAGTTTACATTCGAAGAATTTTCACTTTGTTGTCCCGCATAGAACCTTGCCTTAATTCCAGGCCATTATCACCAATTTCTCAGGATCCTACTGACTTCGCTGCCTTAACTCCCGGACATTTCCTTATTGGGACTCCTATTCTGGTTCCCATCGATCCTCAAATCGATATTTCTTCCACTTCCATTCTTAAACGTTGGGAAAAGCTAAAAGCCATTCACCAGATTTTCTGTTCACGATGGAAAAACCAATACTTGAGTGAGCTTCATCGAGGACAATCTTCCACAGAACGCGTGGCGTCTAGGATGCATTTCGAAAGTATATCTGAGTTCAGACGGACGTGTACTAGTCGCGGATATAGTTACCCAACGGGGAACTACCACCCGGCCAGTCACGAAACTCGTCGTATTATCCGCCCAAAACTAATACTTTCTTCCATCCAACCTGTTTCTGATTTCTAATCTGTAACATTCCATTATATTCGTTCCTTCTACGCCAAGTAAAACAATATGTCCAACCGATCGCCATCCCGTGTTCGTTCCATCATCCCTTTCAGCGTGGAGAAAGAACGTCCGGCATATTCTATATTTGTCACACCCGCCATCCATTGCGTTTATGCCGGAAATTTATGGGGATGAGTACATCTGGCCGTCTTAGTGTCGTGGAGGAATATAAATACTGTAAAAATTGTCTTGCACACGAGCATTCCCACGGCAGCTGCTTTTCATCGAAGGGTTGCAGGGCACCTTTCCTTACCCGACGACTGAACGCACCTAGGATCAACGACGTCCTCAACCCGAAGGTACGAAGGTACGCCCAGCTCAAAGATCGATCGCAGCCCGTAGCTACCAACGGCATTACTGTCAATACACTGTTATCGCTGATACGTCAAAGTACCATCGTTTTGGTTCCGACAGTGGTCGTTCGAATTGCGGATGGGAAAGTGAAGTTGACAGCGCGATGCCTACTGGATTCGGGTTCAACTGTTAGCAGGGTATTAAAAGGCTAACCGACTCCAAGAATTTGACGACGCTCACCTTGGACAAGGAATCGTGACCTAATACTAATTTATCTTTTTTTTATTCTTGTCATATTTCCTTTTTTGCACACCACACGCGCGATTCACCCGCACCACATCTCTCACCTACACATACATCTCACATCATCACAACTCTGGGGAGTTCTTGTTGTCGCAATCGAAGACATTCTCCCCACTCCCCTGAGTTAAACATTGGTCCTTCGAGCCGGATTGAAGCCATCACTTTTTCGCTGCTCCCTCTTCTGCATGAAGAAATCATCGGATTCTCTCTCATCATATTGTCAACATACAAAAGACTAAAAACCAGGTACGTAAATTCAGATCTTTGTTTGATTGAGCTACGCGCGTTTGTTAGTGCGTATGTTTATTGTTTTTAATTGAGACAACATAATATTGGACGGTTTTCAATCACTCTTCGCCTGTGTCATTGTAATTCAAATACAGTCCACTCTTGTTGCATTTAATTGCATTCGTTGTACTGATCAACCTACGTTGCGTTGATCGTACATTTGCCTTTCGTTTGAAAACAAGTCAGTTGGTCGACTTATATTAACACTTCTTGTGTTAATCAAGTGAATTCCCCTACAACAAGTAGTTCTGTTATTGTATTATATCATCCGTCGTTGCGTTGATCATACAAAACATTTTGGTGCTTTGTTATTACCATTTCATTTGTTTCGTTTTCTAACTCTAATTTCCAAAGTCGAAACATTTGTTAGTATTCGCAGTCTCATTTAGCAAAAACAACATCCAATCATCTATTTTTGCTTGGCTCACAATTCATTTTACATCAATCCAACAAGTGGATCTATAAAGAGTTATTGATGTTTTTTATTCCCCCTCGTTGTTATTCTACTCCCTCACCTTAGTTGAAGAAAAATTTGCATCACCACATAGGTAGTAACATTCTTTTATATTTGGCCGTTTGATTTATTTGTTCTTTAATTTCTCACCAACCAAACGCTCGTTGTTGTTATCCCACTTCACGTTTCAAAGGTTGAGCCCTTTAATGATAATTGATTGTTTCTAATTAACAATAACAACACGCTTGTATTAACAGTGCATCCATCTGTCTGTTGGTTACTTCGTCGTCGTCACCAACGCGCATTTATTGTTGTTGCAATTCTTTTTCGTTTGTTTCTAACCGTCGATCAATTCTCACTTGAGAATTTGCATTGCCAAAAATTGCAACAAAAATACTTCATCATTCCACGCGCCCTTTTTAGCGTCGGTTTGATATACAGCAAAAATAACAAAATATTGCTTTGATCTCCAAACTCTCACTGTCGTTTGTAGCGTCGGTTCTTGTGCGGGTGCGCAGCTGCTTATATACAATTGTTTCTCTGCCGACGTCGCTTGTGTTTTATCCCTCTTTGTGCGATATCCGTTGTTGGTTCGGCAGAGTCGTGTAAAACAGCATAATTTGTGAATTTTTGTAATTTATTTTAGAAAATATGTTTTGATAATTATGACTATCAGTAAGGTTTTTGAAATTCTTGGACAAATTTATCCTACCTTCGGCATTCCTTTCAGGCATATTTAGCAACACATATTTGTGAAAATTAATCGTTTTTTTTTGCTAGTTTTGCAAAAGATTTAAATATTATTTATCCTTTGCTTGAATAATTGATACTGTACGTAGGGTTTTTTGAATTTTTGAACAAATTCACCCTACATTCGGCATTCTTTGCACAAATTTCAGCAAAATATTCGTTGAATTTTTTCGCTTTGTGACTATTCTTGTGATTGTTTGGACAATTTATTAATAATTGTCGATACTGATTGTGATTCTCCGCAGGGTTTTGTATTTTTTTTTGGAAGAATATAACCTACTTTCGGCATAAACTCTAAATTTTACCACCTTTAGCTTCAAATATTTTGTAAAAATACTCAATTTTACAAGACTTTTGGTAAATAATTGTACAAAGATAGTACTGAAAACTAAATACATTCTGCAGTTGGCATTAGCAAATCATATATTTTCTTAATTTGTTGATATTGGAGCAATTTTAGTTACATAGGAAGAGATTTTCTTAATTCCTCTTCTATTGAACCATGATATATCCTCAATATATATAACATTTTTTGAATTATTTGGAGGTTTTAGTTTTGAAAATTTCTTATTTCCTTTCAACAATAACAATCCTTGTTCGAATCTTCTTTCTTTTGCATGCCGTTTGTATTGTTTTTGTTTTCAATTTAGTAACAAAATGTCGATCGCTCCTCTCACACGTTTTACTAGAGCCGCTGACATCGTTCTGAGGAGTGTAGAATATTTCGAAGAAATTGATGCCACACCGTTCACTATTTACAGCCTCGAAATTCGTCTTTCTGAAATTCGAGAATTATGGGAAAAGGTTCAGAACACTTATACTGAGTGTAAAACCTACCTCACGGCATCCGAGACTACACAGGTTGGTAATATTAATGTCGTTGTAGATAAATACAATAATTCATTTGTTTCTTACCATTGGTGTTTGACCACCATAAACAAGGACCTTGATCGCCTCAAATCTCCAAACAATGATCATTGTTCTTCTGCTGTGGCTTCTCATTCCTCAGCTGCTTCCAGTTCTAGTGTGCAAAACAGATCTTCGCCTGATATTTCTAATATAACACCCCCTTCCGAGCAAATTTTGGACAGTCTCGTCGAACCGGTTTCTGTGCAGTCTGTTTCTCCACCCATTGATGCTTTCTCCAAATCTTCCCCCCAATAAAAGTTGCTCCAATCCACCCTTTGATAGTCATTGTTTCGTAGTACCACCTATTGATATCGAAGTCTTTGCTGGTGATTTTATGTGTTGGCCCACCTTTCGCGACTTGTTTACAACCTTTTTTTGTACAAAATTCACGTCTATCCGATATTGAGCGCCTCTGCCACCTTATGCATATCACCACCGGTGAGGCTCGGGAAATCGTTATCAGATTTCCACTCACTAATTATAGTTTCCATTTACCTTGGAAAGCTTTGTCGGATGCGTATGACAATAGGGGCATCGTGGTGAACAATCATATTAAAAACTTGTTTGGTATTAGTCCCATAAAAATTGAAACTTGTGCGGGTTTGAAAAATGTCCAAAATGGAATTAATAGTTGTCTCGCTGCAATGGCCGTCTGTGACGTCGCAACGGATCAGTGGGATCTAATTATTGTGTATATTTGTTTGCAGCGTTTGCCTTTAACCACCTTGGCTTTGTGGGATCAATGTATCAAAAATAAGTCGTTGTTGCCTTCCTGGCCAGACTTAGATGTTTTCTTCTTCGAAAATCTAGTTCAATCTTTAAAAAAGCCATTGTTACATGAGCCAAAATGTGTTGCTTCTTCTCCTCGGCCAAACACTTATTGTCCAATTTGTCCTAACCAAAGTCATATTCTCCGACATTGCCCACATTGCCTCTAAAGCGCACCCACCCTCTGCTGAAAATAATTCTAACAGCCAGTCTCCCATCACCATTTAGGAAAATGTGCTCTGGGGACTGCAATAGTAAACAATGTTCATAATGGCAAATCGTACACTGCTCGAGCAATTGTAGATCCTTATTCCAAGGCATCAATTGTTAGTAAAAAACTTAAACCTAAACGTGGCATTTTAACTCACTCTGAGACTTGTTCTAAAGCTGTTGCACCAATAGAAGTTAGTTCTCTTCAGTTGTCTTCCCCTAAAAATTCATCTAGAATTGTCAAAACTAAAGCGTTATTCTTACCTAAAATCAAGGGGAAGTAGTTCTCGTCACCATCTTTTTGTAATTTAAAGACTCGAATTCTTAATCTCGATTTAGTGGATTCTTTCGATAATAGACCAATAGATTTGCTGCTTGGCGCTGACCTATATAGATACTCGAAGCTGAACCACCCCAAATTGCTTTGGATTCGTTGTTGGCCCAAAAATCTATTTTCGGGTATATACTCACCGGTTCAATACCTCCAGCAAATGTTACATAATTTGGCACACAGTTTTGAAATCGACCAATCAAGAAAACCATTGCATCTTTTAAAATCCAATTTTTGTTGAAATAGTCACTTGCGCTAAAGATGAATTAATCGAATATATTTATAATTCGTCATATCGCTTTGATAATTTGAAAATCTGCAACTATAGCTCACTTAGGAATCTGAATTTACGTTCTTACCTAACTTATAATAAATTGATATTAATTGCTAGACTCGTAGTTCTATCAAGGGGGCCGGAATGTATAAGTTCGATACGTTCCATCACAACTTCCTTTCCTCGATCAATCACGGATGCTGATTGGCGCACTGGCATCTCCTCTACAACTCCCTTGGCAGAGATCGTAGTGAGCGGATCGCCGCTGGTCATTGGTTGTTGTCGGTTTGCTCTCATTGGAAGTAATTGTAATAAAATGAAAAAAGGGATCCTCAGCGATCACATATAACCTCTGCGTTCACTTGAATGTATTTGTATATGTGGTTGTAGATAGACATGGGACCCTGAGCGGTCACTCAGAACCATTGCGTTCACTTGTCTAGTGGAAACGGAAGCATAAACACACGGCCTTTGTCGCCACTATCACATACCAAAATGTAATTTGTCATTGAAAAGAAAGAATCAATAAAGCATAAATTATATTAAGAATTAATACTAAATTATCTTTGCTTTATTTCTTGTCATATTTCTTTCTTTGCACACCACACGCGCGAATCATCCGCACCACATCTCTCACCTACACATACATCTCACATCATAACAACCCTGGGGAGTTCTTGTTGTCGTTGTCGCTATCGAAGCCATTCTCCCCACTCCCCTGAGTTAAACAATGATATTATACACTACGAATTCACTTATTTATATTAGATACGGATTGGAAAGGTTAAATAAAGGTTGCGTAAGTTTAAAGATTACATCTCATTCTAATCATCAATCGGTTTTCTAATTTTTTAGGAATTAAATAATAAAATCATATTAAATTTAAAAACAGATGTTGGACCTTATTGGTCCTCCCTCCAAATAACCTTCATGGATATGGAAACAATTTTTTTTTTTTTTCAAAAAAAAAAATGTGAATTGGACCGAGGTAATGCATATTCTTATAGGATTTGCCCTTTATTAAAGATTAAGAAATGAGAGTCATGCTAATGGCTATTCATAACAACATTTATAAAATAAGGTTTCTCTATATGAATCGTTGTAAAAAAGATCAGAAGCGCGCCATTCGTGTATTTCTTAATTCGCCAGGAATTCACTTTCTGCATTTCCGTGGAATAGACATTTTGGTATTTTCCCACAAAAATTGGGGCCCATTTTTCCATTAACTGTTATAAGATGGTCATCCAAAATGTTTGGCAGGGCCGATACCGATCCCCCACTTAAAATTTCCTAAGGATCGGACGATAATTATGACGTGTCAGAAAACTTTCAATTTTTGGTTTATTTGAACCCCTAAATATTTTGCGATCATCTCCAAAAACATCAAGCTTCAATTCTGACACTAACCCCTCCTCCATATAACATTTCGTGAGGATCGGGTCATAAAGGTGCCCTGTATATAATATCCTAACAATATAGTGCTGTAAGGAGTAAAAATATTACAAAATGTAAAATTCAATATTGAAAGTCAAAATTAAAATATCTCATGCGACAAAATTGAAAAATATAAGAAAATATCACAAAATCAATATTCTCATCTTTGTTGGGATTTTTCCATGCGTTTTTGTCTAGATTTTTTGTTCCTGTCAAAAGGGTATTCTGAATTGACAAGATTTATCAAAATCAGTCCACTTATTATTAGAATGCTTAGCGAATATATGTCGCTGTATATATTCGATATCTTCACTATCGAAATCTACATAACGGTCAGAATTCGTCTATTTGAAATAATACCGGGATTAAGAATATTCGCTCAATATTATCTGAAGGCAACCTAAATTGGGAAGCTTCTGTCCTGTCTTAAGCTCTAACCCCATGCTAAATTCCGCGTGAATTGGTCTATAATTGTGACCTGTAACGTGATTGAAAATTAACATAGCTAGATCGGCTCAGATCAGCAAGATTGGAAGATCAATATATACATTCCTATGTGGTAGGACAAAATTTCATTTTAATTTTTCCCTTGACATTTTTTAGCATTAGTTTTATGCTGTTTTAGCTGCAACAATATTTTAGATCTGGTCACACTGATGGCCACTCAAATTAATGAGTCCACCAAAAAGATATTTCCAGATAACAGTTCAGCAAAAGCACCAGGTACGCTTTAAACAAGCCTCTTGCACCATAGCAAAGATAATGAAAATTATTCATAATTTGCTGTAGGGATGATCATCGCAAAGAGCAACTGTTCCACGATACGTTATTTAAGCAGTACTTATGGTGGTTGATCTATCCGTCGTTCTATTGCGTTTCTGTAGTTGGTGGTGTAGGCTGTAGGTTGTTATTGTTTTTAAAGTGCAGTGTGGTGTGTTGGTTGTGGCTGCATTAAAGACATAGACACACCTTTCTATTTTGTATGAGGAAAAATAGATTTGGAAAAAATATCTACCTGAGTAATATTAAGAAGGTAAAGTCGTTTCAAATAAGCATAACCATCACTGCATTTTCTGTAATTTTCCTTGTCAGATTTCACTGCAAGAAATAGGTTCCGAACCCTGCTTTGTGTATTCACAATATATTTAAAAGTATATATTTTGACATATATTTGATAAGACGTCAAATAAATAACTTTGAAAAATCGTAAACACCTGGTTACATGGCTTTACTTTTTTGAGGCCTTCCTTACATGCAGAATGCCATATTTGGTGCTATGAACACATATTCATTAATCGACCTTTAATAAAGTGGAGTCCTAACGTCCTAAGCATAAAATGTCATGTAAGTAATATTCTGCCCTGACTATTATTTACATTTTTCGTATTGAATTGTTTGAACTTCAATTTTGTAAACTTTTGTTTGTTGAACAAGTCGTTGAACACGTCGTGGGTAAATGTGCTAGGATTATCACAATACCAAATATCGATGGGTACCATTATATGTGCGCTATAGGAAAAGATGGACCTACATATGTTCCGCCACCGGAGCGACAACCCATTACGGACCACAAATACCAATTTTTAAACAAATCCGTGGAAAATGTGGCAAAATCATCAAAATAACGAATATCGGTAGGTGCCGTTATATGGGGGCTATACAAAAACGTGGATTTACACATACTATGTTCCGCAACCAGAACTAGAACCCATTATGACTTACAAATACCGACTTTTAGACAAATCCGTGGGAAAGTGTAGCGAAAATCATCAACCATTCTAGACACAATACAAATTCTTGTTCCAAATTTTGAATTTCTACGCAAATATTGGATTGTATCGTGATTTTAACAGAGAGGCAATCAGACGGAAGGACATAGTCAAATCGGCTTATAATTTTCTGCTGACCATGAATATTTATACTTTATGGGGTCTACGATGAATATTTACGGATGTTAGAAACGCAATGACTTATAATGATAATGCGATTATATCCTCCTGTTCAATGTGTAGGGTATAGACATCATGAATGTATAGAATTCATTCTTTAATGTAAACATGGTACGTGAACGATTATTTGTGCCTTCACTGACAGTAGATGTCTATTCTCGTACTTTTGTAGGCATTTATATTATTTTTCAAAAAATCATAGTTTATGGATCGCCGTAAAAGCAGACGTTGTATTTCATGTTTTTGTTCGCTCATATTAGCAAAAGGCAACGGCCACCACATGTAAACTAAAGAGAAAGAATAAGAGGAGTAAATAATTGCAATATTGTAATTCAAAAACTGCAAGTGTTTGCTTTAATATCGGGAATGAAAAATACTGTTTACATTTCCAGTCCCATGGTTGCCTTATTCTTACTCCGTATTACTATTGATTGTAAATAAAGAATAGTCTCTCAAGCCCTCGTTGGTCCTGATTCCCCCGCTGATACCTAGGCAACACATTCTTTGGACTCATTTCAGGTTTTTTATATTGCAATTTTTATCCATAAGTGTCCAGAAGTCTACCGATACGTATTTCGGAATAGGTCTAGTCATGTTTCTGTACGGCCGGTGATACATTTTTGAATTTAGTCCCCATCATTGCACGATTACAAAAGGTAGAACAAATCTACCTCCTAAATACGATTTACAATTCTTTTGGTGCCCCTATTCTATCACAACATATACACATTTCGTGTATGTGTGTATTATTTTGAATAAAAAAATACAATAATTAGAAATTATTTGAAATTCAGTTGCAACAAAAATGCATATTTTCGACGTTAATGGACAACTGAGTGTACAATTTCGGGGTAAAACTGTATTGTGTTACTATTTTATATTCAACTTTGTGGAATAACCCCAACATTCCATTCATGTTTTATGGTTTTCCCTCAATATGAAAATTTTGTTAAAATTTTATAAAATAAGCAGAACCATCAGGTACATATTTCAAAGTCTATAAGGCTCCAGTACAGATTTGCATTTTCCTAGTTTCTTGAAGTTTTCTGATTGATTTTCTGGCTCGAAGAGGACAGCTATTTTCCATTGACTTCATTATGGTGGTTTTGTCGACTTTATTGTCTATGTCTTGCAGACAGTCGCCTTTGTTCTGCGTAAGAGTTTCTCTTATTAATTTTCCGTGTTTTGTCCAATTAGTTTTGGATTTATTGCGAAAGATGATCGGACTGTGCGGAGCCCGCCCTAGGTTAAACCTAATGTATTTGCGATCAGGGAACGTATATAAACATATTAGAAACTTTTGTAACTAGATTTATATTCAAATAATTTTAACTGATAACAAGACAAAGAACTTAGGGCAGATACGAGGCAATACACCTATTTATTTATAATTTAGAGACTTAGAGAACAATCTGGAGAAAAATTTTAATGAAAATATACATAAAGGGAAGATTGGAATTTATACTGAGTTACATGACCCCAAAGATTACATACTTCAAGAACAATTAAATGAACAATTTTAGGGGAATATAATAGTTATGTTTGTTATGTGTTCTATTTTTAAATTGAGAAGATGAAACATTGCCAGCAAATTAATTAATATCACAAACATTAAACCGGACATACTAGCATTGCAGAAAACTATGAAGGTTTAAAAAGAAAAAATATTTTCCTAAAGTGAAGGTTTTCATATAAAAATATGTAAATAACTGCGACCCTTCAAAGTTTGACCGTAAACCCATAAAGGATAGATTCAAATTAACCAAGACACCTACCGATACAGGAGAAATCATTCATATGAATATCTATACAAATTCGAAATCTAATTTCTTAACGTTGATAGATCAATTATATAACTAATCAGGCAATAGTTGAAAAAACGCGGTTATAAAAATCAAAGAAATTATGTACTAATATGTTAATAATAAATAATGAGTTCAAAAGTGTTAGAAATGAAGATATAGAGTTACATTCTCTCCCATCACCATTAACAACAATTGCAGGCGCTAAGAATTGAGAAGCTATAGGTACGGTTTTAAAAGATTGCATTTCGAGCGGAGCATTTCCTGTAACAATTTCAATAGTTTTATTATCAAT